ATTTTTAGTCTCAACAAGTGGCAGTACCTGATTAACCTACTCTGAGCACAGAACTTGGGAACTTAAAACAAAAAAAACTACTATAAAACAGGATGAAGGGGGAAAGCATATTTATGACGGAAGTATGAAATAACTTCAATTATTGCAACAATACAACTTCCCCACTTCTTTAATATAAAAAAAATTTAAGGGCTAAAACAAAAGAAAGCTATCTGAAAATGCAAATAAAATTGGCCTTACTCAAAATAAAAATATTCCACACCTATTACCACAAACCTTTCTTCAAAATGTTCATACCAAAAATGTAGCAAAATGACAATCGCACAGATTCTGTTCTTGCTTTGTCACCCTCATAGGCTGAAGAGCTTTTTCAACAGAGCCTAAAACAACAAGTCTGGCAAGTCTTAAAACATAATCCTTACTTCCAAAATTGTGATCAAATACAAAAAAATCAGTGCTTTGTTGTAAAATGTGGTTAGCAACTGTCATAGTTGTGCATGTACCTTCAGGTAAGGTCAAAGAAATTATTTGGGAATACACAAATATCAAAAGACAGAAAAGAAGTTTTAAGAAATTAGAAGAACATATGAGACCAAGTTTGAACATACGATCAACTGAAGAATGTTAAGCACTCCAAAACATTTTCAAATTACTAATCATGATGATGCCAAACTAGCAAAACATTAATCATAGCCCCACAATGCAAGCTCTCCCTTTTAAACCTGCATTGTAACATCCCTCCACACAAAATATGCAAGGGGAGGAGTTTGGTTTATTAAAAATATACAATCATAGACCAAATATACAGAAATTAAAAAACAGAGTTACATAGCATCCAATAAAAACCTATTCATACTTGCACTAATTATATCTGGGGAAGCAATTAGGTCCTCAAACCTGAAACTCATAGCAATGGTACAAAGTTTGACTACAATTCTAGAGACATCTTAATCATTTAGTAGATAGCACACAGTCCACATGTGAGGTTGTTCTGAACAGTTTGTAATTAAGATGAAAGATTATCTCTAATGTAGATATTTCAGAAGCACGTAGGCTATGATCTCAGTTTCAAAGTCTATGTAAATACACAAATGGTCCTGGAAAGGAATATTATTATATTTACCCACAAGTGCCATTGTGGGAAGTAGATCTATACATGCCAAAGTAAAAGACCCTCCTGTGAGATGGAATTAATTAATGATACAGATATTGTGGAACTGTAAAAGGGGACTGTCAGTAGAGATGAGAAGTGTTGGTTCAGTCTCTATGTAAATCAAGATTTCAAATTCTCTGCTTGAAGCCTAGCACAGATACAGACTGAGGGAATAAGCCACAATAAATCAGTTATCCAATATTTTTTTCGTCAAAGTAGACTGGTATCTATCAGAACAGGTTGGGCTAGATATTTGCCTCCCTGACCATGATGTTACCATACAGTTTCATTACTTGTTCCTCCCTGTAGACATACAGAGTAGAAATTTTCTAGACAGCTCACTAGCACTTGTCTTTTAAAATATTATGCTGATTGGATGTGCAAACTCCAATCACCTATTCTGTCAAATTTATTGAGTGTTCCAAATAGTAAAGAACCTCTATTATCTAACTTTTGTAGAGAAATTTATTGCCAGGGAGCATAACATAGATAAACATAGGGAAATTTTTCAAGGCAGCTTTATAAAATTCACTAAGACCTCTCTGGTTCTCCACTATCAAAGCTCAAACATTCAGTATTTCGCAGAAATTCTCCAGACTGCAAATTTAGCCTACAGTTGGGTATTAATTGAAACATTGGTAAATTCCTCTTTGACTACAAGAGAAATCTGTGAATCTTCCAGAAGTAATTCAAGTTTTTCTTTCTGTGGATTTTAGCAGGAGAATGTCTTTTAATCATTCTGTTAGAGCATATGAGTCAATATTGGTTTGTACAGAACCAGGGAAAGCCTACCTTGTATTTAAATAAGCAACTATATGAAGTAACATGCTCACTTTCTATACTACTATTGCAACTGAGTTCAAATGTAGCCTTGTCCAGAAAAGCTACTTCATCTCACCACTTAAAAGTTGGAAAGGACATATGCTTATTCTGGATCTCAACACCCAGCTTTACACTCGACTCACTTCACATTCTTCTGGCTTCTGCTTGCATAGAACCTCCAAATCCTCAAGAGCCCCTTCATACTCCTGTAAAGCCACATAAAGCTCTGATCTGCACAGCCTTAATGTAAGATCATCTGGAGCTGTAGGAGGAAGCAGAACATTTCACTGTTGTTCCTAAGAAATAATAAAAAACAAACATGGTACAGTTATACACACCAAGGTACTATAAGAAAATCTCCAAGAAAGGGACTTATTGACTAGAATCAGCTATGTTCATTTCCAATAAGTTTAGCCAGATTTTTTTTAAAAAACTCATTAATTCTACTTTATTGACAAGAAAGTTGGCCTTAAGTATTATCCATCAATTAAATGGCCAGATAAAATCATCCAAAGGTAGCTTATTCTGATACTGTCAAAAACAATTCTCTGCTTAAGGAAAAGATCTATTGTTTTTCAGTTGGAAATATACAATCATACTTGTATCATTTGAGGATGGGGGATTATAGGAGTGAACGGTAAGAGAGAACTCGCCTCATCCACTGACCAGAATTAAAAAGTTGTTCAATGGCAGAAAGCTCCTGTCGAAGAAGTTTCCAATACAGAGATGTTAAAAGAATGAGGAATAAAGAACAAGAGAAACAATTCAGTCAGCTATCTTTCACCTGCTGTGGATCACATACTCTAGTAGTATTTTTATGACCCTGTACAGGTAGTCCTTAACTTATGACTGACCACAACAGAGTTCTTTTTTTAATGTTTTCCCCCTATCTAGCAATGTATAATGGATGTTAAGGTACATCCATTTTGAGAAAAAGTAGGAAATCACAGCTAATTAGATTTTAACAAATTTTATCATCACCTTAAACAAGAATTTGGTCCAAACAAGAATTTGGTCCAAAATCTTTCTTATATTATCACTGTTTTCAATTAAAAGAATTGAAAAAGGCCTATGTATCAATTAATACAAAATGAGCAGGACTAACTCAAGATTAAAGTTTATAGATATTTATAAATGGTAATAGGTAAAGTCTGGTTTTAGAATGTATTATCACCTCATACCACAGTATTTCACAATTTGAGTAACATAATGTTGTAAATATTTTTAATCTCCAAAAAACTTTTCATGGATGTTAAAGTTTTTTTAAAAAGTGATTTTAAAAAAAGTCAAATCCAAGATTAATATTTGTAAGATTTGACAGCACATTTTCACCTCACCTGCTTTGGTGTTTATAAAGAAAAGTATAGTACAAATGGTAAAAAGCTGAAATGCCGAAACATTGTTTAATATTGCTTAATCATTCAGCCCTGGCAGTCCATGTTATAAATGCACCTGGATTAAACTCAAGGATTGCTAGATTTGAGTTCGATCCCTATTAATTGAAGGAATCCTCCAACTGAAGTAAAAAAAAAAATTCATCTAAAAAAAGTAGATGAAAATATTCCTGTATAAGCTCACTTGTTGATGGAAACACCTGTACTGACACTTCTGTCTGACTCATTGCAAAACAAGAGCTAGCATTTTATAACAGCACTATAAATGAGAGGGGTGTGTCAGCTTCCACTCACAGGAAAGTCTGAATCAGTAAAGAAAAGCCTGGTTCCTAATTACTCATTCCTAAATCCTAAGGTTTAAGTAGCATCAGCTTACCAGGTCCAAAGCTGATTTTAATGTAAGTTTTAAGATTAAAGATGAAATGAGATTATTTCCCCTGGGTAATAACAGATCATCTTTTCTTCCCTAACAAAGGCACTATGTGTTTAATGAGAGCATGTTAAAAAAAATTGGTATATTTGTCATCATCATAACATCAGCATAATAGGAAAGCAGCATCTGTTGAATGTCTGCCTCTTCAGTAAATGGTAAAGAAATAAAGACTCCAGGCAGCATACAAAAAAAAAAAATTCAACATTGAGAATGGTGCTCCAGAGGGCTAAGATTCCCACATCAAAAATACTTTCAAGCCCTCAAATTATAGAAACGTTATAAAGATCTGCTCTATTTATTATTAAATTTTTATTGGTTTTTAAGACGAACACAGACAAACAAAACATAAAAACATCAAGCCATCTTCCCTATACATATACATATATACAGTGTGCCGGTTGGTTTACAAATTGTTTTGTGCTTCCATTTCGTAGTCTTCAATTACAATTACATTATATATATTCTCATATTTTCAATCAAGTATTAAATACATTAATATCTTTGTTAATCATTTGACTATACTTTTATTCATTCATGTTTCATGAAATAATCATATTTTACTTAATTTGTTTTATAACAGTTCATGTTATCATCTCAAATCTATCCTACAATCAGTTTGTAGATATAAGAAAAGAATACATCTTTATATATTTATTATTTTCTAAGAATCTACATATTTCATTACCATGTTTTATTGTCTAACCATTAATAGATCCCAAATTTTATAAAATTGTTTATCATCTTGTTCTCTGATTTCAAATGTCAATCTACTCATTTCAGCACATTCCAACATTTAAGATCTGCTCTATTTTATTCTTGCTCTCCATGAACAGTTAAAGATGGTCCCATGGCCTTCCAAGGAAGTCAGCAAAGTTACATAACTCCTTTTTTAAAAGTTCCTAAAGAATAAGTCCAAAAACAACACAGTCCTATCATCATACACACTTTAGATTTAATATTTAATTTTCTGATGTGACCATTACCATTGGCAGCATTTGGTTTCACTTCTGTGGTCAAAATCTGCAACAGAAACTAACTAAAGTAAGCCCTTTTTTTACTTAAAAGAGAAGGGAATCACAAGATCTAGAAGCAAGGGCACAAATGGGAGATACCCTACACCCAAATACTTATATGACCATAAGATCTCCAGCCTTTTAAGGAAGAGGAAACCCCATAGCTGAAGTTAGTGAAAAGGGTTACCAAGAATTGTCCCTCGCCTGCTTATACAATGCAGCCAACGAGATGGTGGCAAGTTGCATAACCAGGGAGCACCTGGCGGTCAGTCCCGCGCATATCACCCAGCCTCCCTTCCCTTCCCGTCGTTCAACCTCGCAACACTCTCCCCCCACCCCACAAAAAATAAGCATCCTCTCTGGATAGCACGCAAACCTTACCCAAGCCGATTCCCTTCTGAAGCGTCCTGAGCGCTTCCTGGAAGTCCCCGTGGCTCACCAGCTCCCGCAGGTCCCTTTTCAACTGGGCCACCTTGGCGGCCGTATCCAAGCCCTTTTCGAGCAAGTTCCCGAGCAGGACGTTCGAGCTCAGCTTCCGCGAGCCCAGGAGGCCGAGTTTCTCCCCGCAGAGGCAGCACTCGGGAGGCGAGGTTTCGCCCAGGCATCTCTTGCAGAAGGAATGGCCGCAAGAGACAGTCACTGGGTCCCGGAGGATCATGCGACACGAGGGACAGAGAACAAGCTCCATGCTTCTGCTCCGTCAGAGGGGAGGGGGACGGGAAATCGCGGCCTAGACGAGAAGTTAGGACGGCACCGGGCAAAGGTCGGCGGCTGCCCAAGAGCAGCAAAGAAAAGCGGCCGAAAGAGCCAGTGGGACACTTTGACAAAGCTGGAACTTCATTCCCCCCACTTTTTCTTTTTTGGTTTTGCGTCCTGTCCAACCAGCAAAGACGGAGCAAATCGCGGGCTCTTCAAGTCACAAACCTCCTTCGCGGTTCCCGATTGTTTGCCCCTTGGAGGAATTCTTCAATTTCCGAAGGAAAAGAGCTGCTCTCTCTCTCTCTCTCTCTCTCTCTCTCCAGGCAATGGAGCAGAAAGCAAACGCGCCGCTTCCTGCCAACTTCGCGCGCAGCAAGCCGGGGTTGCTTTCCATGCAACGACCACTAAATCGACCGCTTCATCCTGTTGTTGTTGTTGTTGTTTTTCCTTCTTCTTCTTTTAAAAGACCCCGGTGCTTGCTCGGTCTGAGCATCTAAAGCGCTCTCTCCGCCCAACAGCTCCCTGGTTTCCTCCGAGGCTTAAAACTGTTGCAACTCAACGACGTTCTTGCGCCAATCAATCCATCCATCCATCAATCAATGGGCAGTCGCTGGAGAAGACTTGATTCCCCTTCAGAGCGGTGGGCCCCCCTTCCTGTCGCCCGGGGCGATCTCTCAGCCTGGGCAGGAGGCGGCATCCTTTTTCTAGTTAGCGACAAGGAGGCGGGGCGGAGGGGGGAAGGTGTCTCGGCGTGGGACGAATAAAAGGAGGAGGAGGAGGAGGGGCCCCCAAACCAGTAACTTTTCAGCCTCCTTTATGCCGGATCGGTTTCAGCCACCGGATTTCTCTGATAACCAACACACAAGCGTGTAAATTACCCTCATTCACCACCCCCAGGCCGGAATATTACATAAAATCGGGAGCAGCCCCGTGTGATGGCGTCGGAGAGCCAGCCGATTGGCTGCCAGCTTTGGCCGGCCCCCACTGAGAAACAGACGTAGCGAAGTGCGTTTCATAACCTCCGAGAAGGATGAAAGTTGGGAATCGCGAACCGTTCGGCTAAAGAAAAGGGGAGGGGAAGCGGGGGGGCGTCTTGCCTCCTGCTCCAGTTCTGCCCTTGACGTCCCAAAGAAGTTGCTTTCCTAAAGGGAGAAGTGTAAGCGAGAACGTTCCGCTTCCCGCTGCGTGGTTCTGAAATTAAAAGCAACTCGTGATTCCCCCCCCCCCCCATTGCCTTGGTCATATTATTATTCATTCCTCTGATGGAACGATGACATAAGAGGAATTTACTTGAATGCAAAACAGAACGCCACCGATGTGCAAGGATGGTCCACAGCCCTATACAGAAAGAGCTGTACACTTGTTACCCTCGGGTACTGCCCTAGATGTAAACACTATTGCAATTGTGAAGGTTTTCGCTGGGTTTCATTTGGTCAGCTCGGTGGAAAAAGAAGAAAAGAAAACACTTTGCTTCAGGGTAACTTACAAGAATATTGTTCTCTGGAGCAGCAATCCTTCGTATATTGCATGAAGTGCGACACGCATAAAGTGGTGGGCAGCAAAATTGACATTTCCAATCAATGTCTGTGGAGATTCTCATGGTTGTCCCAAAGTTGCTTTTTCAAAAGACAATCAGACTTTTGTTTTCTCCTTGAAGACGTTTCGCTTCTCATCCAAGAAGCTTCTTCAGTTCTGAGTTAGAAGCTTCTTGAATGAGAAGCAAAACATCTTCAAGGAAAAAACGCCTTTGGGATTTCCAACCAATGCACACAGACATACGGGTACACACTAAAAGAGAGTATTTTTTTCCTAAAACAATTGTTTAGCTTGAGATTTGGTTTATCTTATGGTTTATGCTAGTTTTTGTCAACCTCAGCAACTTTAGGATATGTGGATGTCAACTCTCAAACTTTGCTCAGCCAGAATGATGGGAAGTTAAAAGTCCGTCCATCTTGAAGTTGCTGTGGTTGAGAAGCATTAATTTATGCTATGAGCTGGTGAAAGTAAATCCTAGTCAATGAGTTGAGACAAGATTGATTTGGGTTGTTTTAAAACATGTGAAAAGTTAATGCTATTTATTATCATCATTAACTATTTAACTTTCAGGGATCCACCCAGTAATCCAGACAACAGTGTGGTTTAATAAGCCATCAGAATGTGATCATGGTGATTTGCAATCTTTGAAGCCACCATTTAGAAGCTAGATTACTTGTCATCCTTCCCAAAGCTGCTATTTAGATCAGATATTGGACGAAATCTCCCCAATTTCTCTGAATTTGTTTTAGTTTGTATAGAAAGTGATTGAGACTACAGAGTAAACCACCATTTCAAACAACAAAAACAACTTGGAGTCATGATTATATCACCAGAGGGGAAAAAATACTTGGTAGGGTAAAAAATATCCAAGAAAAATACATCATAAAAATAGTTGAGGGAGCAGAATATTGAAGGAACATAGCAATTTAATTTGGGAGAATGGACCCTTGTATTCTGTAATGAGATAAATAGATCATATGCCCTGAACCAATACTCAGTAATGAGATAAATATTCTACAGATTGACCCCCTTTCTAAACAGCTCCCTCTCATAAAGAGGCTTCTGTGATAAACAATATAATCCTATCATTCATATTCTATCATCCTATAATCCTATCATTCATATTCTTTCGCTTAGCTAAAAACATGACAAAATGGCTAACAAGTGTTGATCAACTTTCACAATATCATTATAGCCAGTGGTAATTGCCAAAATATTAGGAAATCATCATAGGTTGGTTACAACATCCCTGTAGAAGCAACCACAGCAAATCTTAGATTATGAAATCCGGTTTGGAAATCAAGAGTTACCCTGTTGTTTTCCTGCAGAATAATCTTTACCTCACAACTGCTGCTTTTCATTTTAATAAGTACAGTAAATGTCCCCCCAATTGCCATTTTTCACATTACATTTTAGTTTAAGAGGTATTTATGAGATGTAATTTCAAAGAAAATCTGAAAAGCTGGTTGTTATGGCAATATACACACATCTTCCTGCAAATTAAGAACTCAAGATTTTTAAGAATTCCACAAATCCAATCATTTCATTTAGCCAGAGAGGTCAAATATAAGATAAACAGATAAACCATACATTACATGTTCCTTTGATCCTGTCTTTTTCATTGCTTTTATAAGGCAGCATTCTTCATAATAATATCTAAATTATATGCAGGCAGTCCTTGCTTAAAAACCACAATTAGGATGGGCAACTCCATTGTTAAAAATCATGGTCAATATCATGTAACCACAATGGACTTATGACCTGCTGCAATAATTAAGTGAGACCTTATGTGATCATAACTTCCAATTTTATTGCCACCACCTCCATTCTGCTCGTTGAATACCAGTTACAAAGCACACAAATGGCAATTATAGGAACACAGAGACATTGTGCAGGTCATAAATGCAATGATTGGTTAAAAAGGTAATTTTTCACCCCATAATAAGTTTGAAGAGTTGCTAAACAAGATGGTTGACAAGCAAGATTTACCTATAATTCCATCTTCATGGAGATTGATTTGATATATTTTTCTGCCTGCTTTTTTGACAAGCTTTTAAACAGGGAAAAGCATGGGTTTTTAATTTGAAACAATTTGAGTTAACAAATGGCTGCTGTATTTCAAAATGGGGACCAGCCCTCAGGACAGCATTGTGCCATTGAATATCATCCTGACACTTGATATAAACATAGGTAAAATTATATTTAGTCAGCAGAGAATTAATATTAAAAAGCATTTGAATTTCAATTGCAGTCAATATAATGGCATGTCCTATTTCATTATCACCCAATCCTGAGGATGTCTAAGTCATTATTTCTCATATTCTATCAATGTTGAAAATATGGGAATTGCCAAAACCCAATTTTTTCAGGAAATGTGTTTCCAATGAAGAAATCCAGGACAAACTCAGGCTGCATTCCCAAGTCAGCACAGGCCACAGTAGTTGCTGCTTGGACTGTTAAGTTCCACTTTACAGTTTGGTAAAATATATCTAATGTGCAAGATTTATTTAAAAATATGTTCTACCTCAAATGAAATAATGCTTTTATTTATTAGAGTAATTACAGCATTAAAATATAATACAAATAATCCTTGTTTAGCAATTGCCTCAGATAGTTGGCAATTATGAGTGTTTTTAAAAAAGTTACTTTGTGACCAATCCCTGAAACTGATTAAGGTCTGCTCAGTTTCCAGCAACTACCAGTCTACCATCAAATAATTAAGATCAGAGCTGAGCTTGTTGACTTATCCTTAGCTTTTTAGGGAAGTGCAGTCAGTCTATGGAAAAAAAGCACCTCAGGAAGAGATAGCTTGTGAGAGGTTAAAGAAACCAGGTCAGACATAGAAGGTTGTATGAGGGGGCTTTATCTGAATGAGACAGAGCAATTAGCAATTTTCCCAGCATCTTTGTCTCTCAGTCTTGGTGGTTCCATGTGGATCATTTTGCTGGAACCATTTTCAGTCATTGAATGAGGACTACATGTATTTTAGCCAGTGGCAGGAGCAGGATGATAGTGCAGATAGTGCAGATGTGAGACTTGCTGAAAAGAGCTATTCCAAAGAGCCAGAACAGAAGCTGCAATGTGCTAGTGGAAGCAGTAGATGGCAATCTTCCCTCAGTGTTGTAGACCAGTGTTTCTCCACTTGTCGACTTTTTAAGATTTGCAGACCTCAACCCCCTAAATTCACTAGCCAGCGTGCTAGAGAATTCTGGGAATTAAAGCTCACACATCATAAAGTTGTCATGATTGAGAAGTTATAGACTGATTCTCTCATATACACAGAGAAATTCTATCATACCAGAGTACTCCATACCAAGAAGCCTTCCTTAAAAAAGGTAAACTGTATCCTCACATCAACCTCTATTACCAATAACTACATAGATACAACTTTGCTGCTTTCTTGCCTAAAACTGACAACTGCCTTAATCAAACCATTCTCTTTCTGGAAAGGACAAGAGATCGACCACAACCAGTCTTCTATATACATTCTTACTACAGCACCTTAAGGCTAGTGAAAACACACCTAGGAAACAGACAGGAATCTTTTTTTTAAATAGACTTTATTGAATTTTATTACATTAAAAACATAAAAAATATATCACTCAATAACAACAATTTGTAGTGCTTATCATATAACAATAATTCATGCTCTACAGGTATTGATTTATGCATAATTACATTCTTATTTTATCTGTTACTTATATTTGATAACTATCTATCTTTAATCTATCTCCATTCTATCCAGCTATACCATTGTTCCCACACCTTATAAAATATTGAAGCTTCTTTATCTTTTGAACTCAGCGTTAATTTGTCCATTTCAGCACAGCTCATAACTTTTTGTATGACCAGTTTCTCTGAACTGGTTGTTTCCAACATTGAGCAAAGGCAATTCTAGCAGCAGTCAATATATGTAATAATAAGTATTTTGTGCTCTTTGCATATTTTTTTTGAAGATCCCCAATAGGAAGAGTTCTGGTTCTAGTTGTTCATTAGTAATTTCCTCTAGCCAATCTTTGATTTTAAGCCAGTATTTTCGAGCCTCTGGGCAAGACCACCACATACGGTAATATGTTCCCTCTTTTCTTTTTTTTTTTGCATTTCCAGCACATGGGACTCATTTTGGGATACATTTTCACTAATCTCAAAGGGGGTAAGTGCCACCTATAGAACATTTTGTATGCATTTTCTTTGTATGCTACTGATTTTGTTAATTTGTGATTTTTATTCCATATGGTGGACAGGAATCTTTT